GTTAATTTGGAGTTTGTTCCAGGAGGTTGCTAACAGCTCCAGCTGGTAAACACCTTCGTACTTGGTTCATGTAGATTATAAAGCTCCATCTTCTTTGACGTGGAAATCTTCTCCAGTTCATTTCTTCTGTCCAGTCCGTCGAGGTCGGACGCCTGCGAGTTGACACATGAACACATTGGAGAGCCAATTTGTAGTAGAAAATTAAGTTCTAATTCTAATCCTGATCTAAAGCAACACTGACACTGTTTTTTAATGTTTAATACTGTAAAGCTGCTGCTTTAAAGAAATCTATTGTATAAAGTGCTTTATTATCCATGTATAGGCTGTCAAATATTTCATAACTGAATTGCAGAGGTCGTGTAATCACTATGATCAGATGTTTCTTATCTGCTATTTTCTCACCGCTGGTTTTGTTGTTTGTTTATTTACTGAAAGGAAAGCACCCAGCATAAATTTACATATTCATCTAAACGTCACTTTCATCAGTGCCGGGATGTTTGCTAAGTTATACCTCCAGGACAGTAGATCTCCAGGAACAGGATTGGGCATCCCTGATGTAAATGAATTGTGTTATGTCAGTAAGAGAAGTTGAAACATAGAATAAATAGATAAATATAGGGGTTATCTCTTCTAATAGGAAGCTACAGATGTTATTTTTCTTTCCTCTCTCTATCAGACGGTTGAATATCCTGCGGGAAATGAAAAAATTCCACTTCCCTCAGTGTTGAACCATTTCCCCTCCTCCACACTTGGAAGCACGAAGGTCTTTATTTCCCATCAGCATCAACAGACCACACTCTTCACTGATCACCAGACAAGCAAACTTTGAATAATTCAAATCTGAAATGCTTTTGAAATATTTACATCCTTTTCTCAGAAAACCCATTTTGTTATAGTTGGCTTGCAGATTGAGCTAATCATTTACCTCATAAAGCATTTAACATTGCAATTCAGAGAAGATGTATATCTTATTAAAACTAGGGAGTGCAAAGCCCACTTTTATATTCAGTTTCCCCGAAGAACAAAGCCATCAGAGCTCTCTTAAAAACCAGAATCCAGCCATTAATGCTTTGTCGCAGTAAGACGATCTGGAGTTTTCCTCTCTGTGGAGGTTTTAGGCTGGAGGGCAGAACATGTCTCTGTACCCCAGCCGTGACGCTCTCTTGCTGGGCGCAGTGCAAAGATTTCTCCCTTCAGCAACTCTGGTGGCCTCTGAATGAATTGCACATAGCTGAATACCTGAGAGTCACAGGTGGGCTTTAGGGTCCTCATTAGTGCAGACTGAGGCATGTCAAGCTGATCTTCATTAAAGTGCAGAAGTTAGGCTTGTGTTGTTTCCTTCCTCTACTTTGAGTTTAAAATTAACTCTAGCTTCAGTTCCTCAATCCAGTGATGCATTGCTGTATCCAAGGCACTGCCCATCTTTGTTGACTAAAACTTGTGTGCTGACTGTCCCAGTCAGGGTCATTATGGTGACTAAAATGCACTTGTGTTCACCAGCGCTTAAATGACCTCATGGGCTCAGATATGCTGGGTCACACCTCCGATTTTCTCTAAAAGACTTCAAAGCCTGTTTCTTTCCACTTGCTCTTCTCTGGAAAGATTAAATCTTAATTCAATTTAAAACAAAACTAGCTGCATTCGACCTGCCCTCACAGAGCCATGGAGAAGCTGCTGCTGTTACATAACACTGTGTTGTTTTGTGCTGAATAAGCGGTCTTTTTGGTGAGCTTGCATGTGTTGTTCTGTGTAACATGCTACTGACTTTCCGTTAGGCTGATAACTTCAGACTTCTGATAGAGTTAAACGTGACTAATTTGTTTGCACTTGCAGTATATCTTGGTTAATCTATGCAGGTTTGTCTTTGGTCTAAGTGTCTTTCTGTTTGTGTGCTTTTGCATCTCTCCTGTTATGTTTCTTGCTCATTGTCCCAACTGTGGGCTGAGTGGGTCCTTATGGTCCCTGTCCTGGCTAAAATCCTCAGTGATTGGTGTGGTGTTAAGTGTAATCTTGACAGCTCTGTCCTCCCACGTTTTGTCCACAGAGTGTTTTTATGGCAGTGATGTCTGATAGGCCATGACAGGGTCAATGATATGAGCCCTCGCTGATTAAGGAACTCCACGAACAGCTAATCTAGAAACTTTTTATCTATGCTGAAGAGTATGATTGATTTCTCTTTCTCTCTCTGTTTTCCAGCATGACTCTCTCAGTCAGGGCTGGGTAACATAGCTAAAACATGGTAAATGTTATCAATTTAGAGTGATTATGCAAATCAATCATTGAAATGATTCTAAGAAATGAAAGTAGCATGCATATCAGTAATAGATGCAATTGGTTACACTTTATTTCAAGGTGACGTAGTTACATTGTACTTACTTAAATAAGTACTGAGTAATATTAATTAACTACATGTACTATAGAGTTACGGTTAGGGTTTGGTTTAGAGTAAATTACTTGTAATTATGCCTAATTTACTGTTATTACTATAAGTACTGTAAGTACATCACCTTAAAATAAAGTTACCATGTAATCTGATATATATTAAGGGAATATATAGGCCTAATATATTTTCTGCCCAGGATTCATGTTTAGATTTATGATTAGCATTAGTCAGGGTGGTCTGTTTTAAACTTTTAAGGGATAGACCACCCAAAAATGAGAATTCAGTCTTCATTTTCTCACCCTCATTTGGTTCCAAACCTGTATGACTTTCTTCTGCAGAACACAAAAGATGATATTTTGAAAAATATTAGTAACCAGTTTTGGTTACCATTGACTTCCCTTGTATAGATTGACCAAAATTGACCCTATATATAGGCTCTTGATACTTGTTTCTGGTCTTATTAAACAATTCTTTGGTGAATATTAGTAGGGCTGTAGTCAACCAAAGAAATCCTTAGTCGACCAAAGTCTTGTCCTGCACAATGATTAGTCGACTAAAAAAAAAAGAAAAAGAAAAAAAGATATGCGATGTTTTGATTGAACATTTTTTAACAATTGTCATAGAGCATTTATAAAACAACAACGAAAAAACATCAAAAATACATAAAACTATAATAATAATACAATTCTTTGAAAATTAACTGCTTTTAACTGCAAAAAGTAAGGAGCACTGTCCTAGGTCTATAGTAGGCCTAACAGTCACAATCGCGCAACTGACAACACCACACGCTACAAAAAATATAACTGCTCTGCCACAATGAAAAATCCTAACAAAAGCTCTCGTTTATACAGGCTGTATGTTCTTCTTTACTTTCAAAGCTATGGGTTAACTTTTGTCCAGCCGATCTAGGCGTTTTAAAACAAACACACACAAAAACCCAAAGAGCCTAAAAAACAATCCTAATAATAATAGGTTGTATTGTAGGACCGGATATAGGTTTATTTTCGTTTTGTTACATTATTTAGGCTATTTTCAAATGCGTCAAGTGTACAAATAAAAACATATCAAGAAAACACAATCTATTGAGTCAGCATGATAAAGCCGTTAAAGGGACTGCTCACGTCTTTTGCGCGCTCAAGTTCGATTTCAAATGTAGGCGCGCGGTGTGCGCGCTCATGATGGAAGCAACGCGGTCGCGGTGAGACCTTTATACAGTCTATGGGTGCGAGTGCGACGCGCTCTTTTTTTCCAAGTGCGTCCACGCCGCATCGAGATAAAAACATATAGTGTATAAAAACCGGAACAAGTAGCGTTCTAACTGAATGAATACAGCTGAACTACTATATCCCTTACTGAGCACGAAGCAGCAGCGCAGCCAGCCGTGTGAACCGAGTGTTCTATGTGTGTGCGCTAAACTCTGGCGCTGTTACAAAATAGCCTAAATTAAAGCATTTAAAGTTGGGGATAAACCATAGGCTAATTATATTTAGAATACAGTAATATTTAACTGCTTATAAAGGAATAAATATCAAGGAGTAAATCATGGAAAATTTATTTCTATTGGTAAAAAAAAAAAAAAAAAATGCAACTGGTCGACCAATAAGAATGTCAGTCGACCAAGACGGCATCGACCGATTAGTCGACTAAACGACTAAAGTTGACAGCCCTAAATATTAGTTTCAAATAAGAAAATCCTGTCTTTGTAATCTTTCTTAAAAATCTAATTTCTTCAAACATTGTCTTTGAGACAGCTTTTCTTTTCAGATCTCTTATTTTTCAACTTGTCCCATCACCCCATCTATCTAGCTGTGCTGCTGTTTATTATCCAGTCAATTCCTGATGGATTTTTTTGTTGTTGTTCTTGTTCAATGTCTTTTTCATTTAGAAAGGCTTGTTTTCATTCGTCTCATCAGGTTAAGAATGGCTTTTCATGTTGACTTTAAAACGAACAGATGGAACTGAACATCTCTTTTTGTTGATGGGTTGATTGCATTTCATTTCTGTGGACTCTTCTTGAAAGATGCGCATACAGTTGAAAAATTGCCTCCTTTTGGATTTTGGTGAGTGTTTCATGAGAAACCTTGCTTCTTTTGGTTGGAATCCCTTGCTTTTCTTCATTTTAGTTGCGTAATGCCAACTAGGCTAATTGTCTTTTCGTTGTGTTCTAAACAGTTTGAGATGCACTTTGGAAGGTACACAAGAAATTTGAGTTACGAAACTCAAATGAGTCAAGTGTTTTCCTTCCAAAGACTGATTTTGTAAAGATAACTATTGGGTTTGTCAGTGTTTCCTGGAAATACAGTAATTTTAATCTAAAAAGCTTTTATCTTGAGCGGTCAGAAAGTTTGTCCTTAGAGAACCGTTACATAAATGAAACAATCCACTGATTCATTCCGGGCCTGAGTGGCACCGCACCAACGGCTTATGATGAGATTTTATTGCCTAAATGTTAAACGCTTGCATTTAAGATGCAACTTCAAAGGCAGTGCCTCTAAAAAAGACTTTCATTTAGAAATAATGTCCTTTTGTATTCAGTGACTGATTTACCTTTAGGTTTCGCTATGCCTCCGAACCCATTTAGCATTTGACCTCATTTAATATTTCTGTTTCTCTGCAGGGAGTCCCTCCAAATCTGTATCCACCATGTCCCTTTCTGTGCGCCCCTCGCGGAGGGTCGTCGCCAGATCCATCACTAGGAGCCAGTCCTTCGCCGGAGTCAACTCCTACGACAAGTCCTACAGGTCAGTGTTAACTTACACATGCATGTACATGAACACATGCACACACAAATAAGGCATAAATGATAAACAACAGAAGCATTGCTCACAAGCATGCATTAGGGGTGGGTGATATATCAAATATTCATGTTATATTGATGATTTATATTTCAGCAATTCAGCAAGTGAATTTAATGAGCTTTTTATTGGACCATTAAATATCCTCAAAGACCATCAGTCGACTATTTTTTACGGTCCATTCTTGTCTTGTGACTTGCGAGTATGAGAGCATTATGATTGATGATATGTTTAATAGTGTCTATGATTTATACTTCAATAGAAAAAATAGCATTAGGGTTAGTAAGTTTGATGATGATTTAGCGATTTGTTTGCTATATCGCTAAAATATTTTCATTGAAGTCCATCTGTGACATTATTAAAATGTTTTAAATGTGGGTAAGTGTTGGTGTTTTATTCATTTATAAATAAATATATTTAAAATGTTGCTGGTAAACCTTTGTTTTTATTATATAACAAATGTCCATGCTTTCATATAAATAAAAATGATACTATAAACAAAAATAATTTTATTTAAATAAAAATAAATAAAAGTTATTGAATATCCATGGTTACAATCAATATATTCATTATTTGTAACTAGATTTAAACTACTATTTAGTTCACACATTAAACAATTATTTTTTAAGCAAACACATTTACACTGAGATATGTCAAGTCTAATTATTATTATTTATACTAATATAAATATATTTTTGTATTATCATTTTTTAGATAAAAATATAAAATGTATAAATGTTCAAAATATTACTATAATTTTCTTATGTCACCCTGACCAAAGGCATTCAATATCTTTAAAGGGAAGTCACAGCTGACAGGACGTCCTGTGGAACCAGCATACGTTTCCTAATGACTGTAGGCAGCAGGAAAGCATAGACATTTGTTATTGGCTTAAAAGAGAACTCCAACAAAACAGGGGAATGGTTTTTGTGAGAAATCTGTGTCAATCTTGTAGCCATTTGATTTTATACACTTCACACTTAATCTGTGGTTGATTTATTTATTTATTATTATTTTCATATTTTTGTTCAAGTGTATATGTGTGCCATATTGTAGAGGTAAGCATGTGGCAACATGTTAATTTTTCAGAGGAGCAGAGTGGCTCTTGAGCGTTGTCTCTTCTGGTTGATGTAGTTTCATTCAAAAGCATGTACAGCACTCTTCAAACCCCTGCTGTTGAAATAGAGCAGAGACAGAGAACGCATGAAACATTAAAGAAGACCACTATCAGGACAACATGGAGGAACACCAAACAAGAGATCCAGACAGAATGAACAGAAGGATAAAAGATAGAAACTCAAACAATGCATATGAGTTCAGAGTTAAATGATTTTGTATTAAAAAAAGCATTACTATGATTAAATGAGAAATCAGATTTCCTCATCATTCGCTCTTTATGTTACTGTGAATTCTTTAGGTGCGACTACTGTTGCTGACTGTATCCTCATACAGCTTTACTGGAGCAAATTGTATCGGACACATCAGTCTTTCTCTCCATTTTATTGAGCTGTCTGTCATCTTGGAAGAGCAATTGCAGCTTGAATCGATCAGCACGAGTGTTGGTCTAAAGCACTATTGATTTAGATAAGAGATTGTTTGTTTCCCTGGTTGACCATAATACTTTTCTGCATTCAAACACCTCTGCCATTGGTCAGACAAACAGATGGCCCTAATGCTCAATAATTATGGGCTGGTTGATGGCCCTTTTTCTGCGTTGTAACTAAATCTTACATGTATTTATCATGTACGTATTTGTCATACAGACTCAAATGTTTGGTTTCCTCTGATGTTTTTAATATTGTAGTTGCAAATTCTAAATGATAAAATGAGATAAAATAAGAATAGCTTTTATGGAGTTAAATTAACTGTATAAATTCCAGCTATTGTTAATACATTATTTTAAATTAATATATTTTTATTACTAAAAATATATTAATTTATACAGTATATCTATATATGTAACCCTTTTTTTTTTTTACTTTATTTGACTCTGCACATTAGAGTTAACTAGAGCTGAGGAAAGTGTTTAACCATCAAAAAATTACCTTCAAAATTATAAATGTATACTAAAGCTTTATGTACCTCGTATGTGTCCAAGGAACCTTTCTGTGTTCAGCACCCCCGCGTGCGTGAGGAAGACTCCCTCCAGAGCAAGCAGGATGTTCACACTCTCTACTAAATCACCTCCCCCAAAGGTGCCCCAGCCTGAGAGGCTGGACGAGGTGTACGAGGCCCTAAAGAGAGGACTGCAGTATGTACACACACACACACACACACACACACGTGCATTGTAAATGTGTATACAGTACGCAGCTTCTGAGGAACGCTGTCGATTTTGAATCAACCCAAACAAACACGCCCCTCCCTTCATTGCTCTGCCCCCAAAATGCATGAACTCGTAATACAAGAGTGGATCTCTTTATCATAGCTGGAGTGAAGCAAAATAATTCTTCACATAAATAAAGCGTAGATGACTAACGACAAGAAAGAACAAAAATTAACATACAGTACACAAGAGTAAGAAATAGAGTTAGTTGCAAGCAGCTCCAGACAAACAATTACACTCACAACTGTCCTTTACTATAGCTAACATTACAGCAACAGCATATCTTGGTCCTGTGAAACATTGCAAAACCAATGTCACTCACGTATGGAGCAGAAACAACTCTGTGTCCATTTTGAGGCCTTTCCGTTTAGGTCTCTCCAGCGCAGGAAATCGTTTCTAATATTAACGTGGGTTAAATAAACCACGATTCTGCTTGCACAATACATTAAGCTCTGATAGTGACTTAGATATTGCCCCATACTTTTACAGATCCTACCTGCAGGTTCATCAGATGGAGCTGGACAGTCTGAACAGACAAATGAAGGAGTCTAAGAGGAACTCTCGCTTGGTAAGTCTAAACATAAAAAGAAGATTTTAATTTAATTTACCCATTCATTTTCAAACTCAAAGCCATTTCAGAACTTTCAAATTGTGTCATGGTACTAAACTATTTAAATCTGAGCACTTTTCTGTCTTTTTTTTATTTTAATATGTCTGATTTGTAATCTCTCTCTGTTCCTCTGTTGTAGGGGTTTTTGTATGAACTTGACAAGGTGAGTGGATGCTTCATTTTCATTTGACTTTAGTTTGGGCATAGAGACTGCACCCAAAGTAGCATTTCATTTTGTTGAATTGCTGATGCCTGTTAATAGTATTTTGAGCATCATAAATGTTATTCTCTGTTCTCTCAGCAAGTGAAAGTGATCGAGAGATTTATGAGGCGGCTGGAGTTTCATCTCAGTAAGGTAAGCCTGCCGCTTAACTGAAATGCAAATCAGTTGTGAAGAGGAACTATGCAAATATTTTGAATATTCAAGTTGTATAAACAAAATTGTAATAATCTTGAAATTGTTGAAAGCAGGCCAGATGTGGCACTCTTGTCAAACAGAGTTGCGTGTGTGTTGTAGCTCAGCAGGTCTGTTCTTGTTCAAACGTCTCAGTGTTAGCGACTGCTCTTGCATGGCCCAGTGGCCCTGATAACAGCCTCTGTATGGCTGTGCACATGCATTCATGCACGTACATCTGTGTCTAAACAGTGTTTTTCCTGATAGATGGTCACCTACAGTAAAGCCTAATCCTCCCCCTCACTGAGGACACATTCTTAGACAGATTTTTTCCCCCTCTACCATGGATTTCCCTTTTCCATGGATGCTCACACACAGGGGACACGGGTCACAGGCAGAGGACAGCTTCAGGGGCTGCTTGCATTCTTGGCTTGTTTGGGGAGCGGTTAAACCCTCCACTGGACCTGTTGGAGTCTGAACTAACAGCCTAAACTAACCCAAGCCAGCTGCACTACAGGAAGAGCCCTTCCTCTATCGTCCTCTTCCTCCCCTGCCCCAATTCATGTGTGATTAGTATGTGTTTTATGAGCAGAGGGCGCTGTAGGGAGTCTCCATGCTTTGGCTCGGTCAGCTATGGTGGGCCTCTATTTTAGTGGAGAGGGGTTGAAATGAGAAAATGCCAAAAAATCGTAATATTAAGTGGCTTTGCTAACGACAAACAGTCCCAACGAACTTTCAGATGCTTTGTAGGGATGGTGGCATTCGTGTATTGGCTATGGTCTGTGATGTGAATATAAAGGCGTGTTGTTATCAGTTTTGTATATCAAGTGTGTATTAGCGAGAGAAGCACTGTCATAACTCTGTGAAACTTACGACTGTCCCACTGACTCCCTGCCAGTATGCTGGAACACGCTCACTGGACGGCTCCTAACCACCTCCAGATGGACAAACTGAGAGGAAATTTTCCTTCTCCCACTTTATGTCTTTCCTTCGTCCTTCTTTCTGTTATTGCAGGGAACCTTTTAAGGGCCGCGGACTGTTTCGCCCTCGTTCTCGCCTTCAGTCTTGGGAATTGTGTGTGTTTGTGTAACTTGACTTGTGCGTTTATCCCATTGTGTGTGTACATGTGTGTACTCCCAGTATGAGGCTACCTCACTGTGTTGGGTAATTCTGCTGGATACGGCTACTTATGCAGTCCAGGCAATTTGGTTCATTACCTTGGCCTTGCCACATACACACATTTGCCTAGCAATTTGAAGGGCAACACACTACCATTCAAAAGTTGAGCATTACTGCAGCTATAAAGCATGCCAACACACAAATGTACATAACATTTCTTAGAGTTTACACCCGATTAGTAATTTTGGACTGTCTTTCATGGCAGTGCTTAAACTGTTTCTGTGATTGTCCTCAGTTGGGTATTGGTTTTTAATGTTTTGATGTCATGATCCATCATGATGATCCATACATCATCTCTCCTGCTAAACATTCTTTCAGTCAATGGAGCTTTCTTACTGTTTGCATGTTTCTCATTCATTCATACTGGTTTACAACAGACAGCTCAATTTTTTTTCTAATCTCAGAATTACAAGACTCGTGCTGTGAATAATTACCAAATTACTGTTTGTAATGATAGTGTCTCTTACTCTGAACATCTGCCTAAATTTTAGTTGGCATAATAAGGAGATTTAACAGTTTCCTGTCTCCATTACTGGCTTCCACGTTTGCAGACCTGCTCAAGGTGTTGCGGATAGATCAATAAAATCTAAATTACTTATATTAGAGACAATGAGGCCCAACAGGAAGTACTTGGGCATGAAAAGATTTAACAAGAAGATGTTGTGGCTTGTGCATGTGTGTGCATATGCAGTGAAATCAAGTCGATGTCACCATCTGGATGTAGACTAAACTGTGGCTACCTCATTAAGTCATAAAAATACTAACCTTTATTGAAAAATCCTGCTTATGTTGAAAGGTGTGTTTTGGAACAGGGTAGTTAGTTTCTTGCTAGTCTAAGCTGGTCATTATTTGGTTGACCAGTCACCATTTTTCAGAATTTAGCCTGACCATTTAAAACTAATATGAAATGCTAGTTTGTTGCTGGTAGAAGAGGCAAACAATTCTTACTCAGTATTTTTTTCCAAATATTTAAATGTCTATACATTGTGATAAGCAAAAATGTATAAGATTAGAATTGATTTCTAGCTAATGACCAGCTAGAAACCAGCTACCATGTTTAAATGGGGAATTTTTAGCAGGAAATGCTATTGAAGACATTTCACACCCACATCAATATTGCACATAATGTATTTCATTGATTAATTATAATAAACACTATGTGTGTGTGTCTGCAGATTGACGAGCTCTATGAGGCCTACTGCATGCAGCGCAGACTGAGAGACGGAGCCGATAAGATGGTGAAGGCGTACACTGCCTCTCCAGGCAGCAGGGAGGCCAGAGAGAGTCTGTCTGAAGCTAACAAGAGCTTCAAAGAATACACAGAGGTAAGAGTGTGTGGGTAGATGAGAGTATGGGAGGAAGACGAAGAAGAATTATGGACCCTCTGTCATTGTTAGTGAAGAGAACCAATTCAGTTAATCCACTTTTAACTGAAATTTATTTTAGCTTAGTAGTAGTGAACTGAATCCAATTTGAACTGAAATTCACTTCAACTTAGTGTTAGTGAACTTAATCCACTTTACAGCTGAATTCACTTTAGTTTAAACATTATCTAACTGAATTCACCTCAGAACTCGGAGCAGTCGTGGGCTAATGGTTAGTGAGTGCGACAGGAAATGACAAAGGCAAATGACAGCATAATTGCTGCCCACTGGTCCGGGTGTGTCATGGTTTGCAGTGTGTGTGTGTGTTCACTACTCACTACTCCTAATGTGTGTGCACTAACTTAAATGCAGGGGACAAATTCCGAGTATGGGTTACATACTTGGCCTTCACATGTAAAAAAAAAAAACCCAAAAAAACAATTCAGATTTAAAATCCACTTTAGTTAAGTGATAGTCAACTGACTTCACACTGACTCCACTTCAGAACTGAAATTCATTTTAATTTACTGTTATCGAATCCACTTAAGAACTTTAATTCACTGTGAGGTGTGAGAGACTGGAGTTGTGGGTAAGCAATAAACTGATTTATTTACAGTCATAAGATAAACATCAAGAGATTAATATGGAAATAATGTCGGAATGTATAGGTTCCGGTAAAAGTGTGACCCTGAAAAATGGGATTACTTTTATGACATTGTCGGGAAGTTGAGACTTACACTCCACTGATTACGCCACAGGTTTTTTGCCACCAGATGGATATAGGGCAGAACTAGACTCATTCGAAATGCTCATGGAAATAATGCAGGGAGGCAATCTGATTAAGAGTGGACAGCCTTTTCCAGTCAAGTGCTTTTCATTACCTTAATGGTTGCTGCAAGACAAGCGTTCAACTGTAGGAAAAGTATTCCCCGTGATTCTCCTCCCCATCTCTCTGGCTATTACTACCTACTAAATACTGTACAGTGTATACTGTATGCTGTCTACTATTTTTTTTTAAATGTTAAGTAAAACAGTAGGCATTATTCCACGATAAATGCTTCAAACTGTAGTGTGCCACATTATTGTTTCTACACATTGCATGTTTATTTCCCTTATTCCTGTGACCTTCGTCTATTTTCCTCTGTGTAATTACCCACTGTCTCTGTCCCTACAGAATATGTGCATGCTAGAGAGTGAGCTGGAGAACCAGCTGGGGGAATTCCACGTCAAAATGAAGGGTAAGACAGTCTCTGTATACCAGGGTAATAGTGACCTTTTTAATTTGTAGTTTCCTACAGTTATAATAATATTACTCATATCTCACATCTGATTTAATTTCTATTCCAACAGTGTGCTGTATTTAAATAACAACGTGTGCCTTTGTTTCAGGCTTGGCAGGTTTTGCAAGGCTTTGTGCTGGAGATCAGTATGAGGTGAGCTGATAACTTACCTTCTCTTTGATTTATAGTCAGCACGAAAGTTTTCACATAGTATTATTTTATTAAAAGGCCAGTTAATGTAATAAAGATTGCATTAAAAAAACATTGAGAGATACATTGAGATGCATTGTCATCTCGGTTCGCAGTAGGTAGAAGCTCTGAAAAATATGGCTTGATACCTGGGTCAAAATGTTAATCCGCTCCACAACTAACTGCAAACTTGCATTCAGGTCTCGAATTCCCACTTTTCCTGATTCATTCAGTTTCTGTTGGGTAAAATAAAGTCCCACCTTACCCTTTAAAGTCACATTACTTAAGTAAACCAGATTGTTGACTTTCCTCTATCTTTACATTCATCATGTCCTCATAAAGCTGCCTTGATGTCATCAGTGATCTGCTTTGTACTTTTGCCAGTGGCAGATATGACAGATAGTGGTGAATGGTGATTGAAGATCTGGCTGGTCTGAACACTGCACTAGGCAATCGATGAGCTATAACTAACATTGTGCCCTTAAGCAAGCTTTGGATGAAAGCGTCTGCTAAGCGACTGCTTACAAGATAGGCAGACAGAGACAGATCTCGGCATCTGCTCTGTGCAGTGAAGAACAGATTTGGGGAGGCGGAGGATAATTAAAGAAGGACGAATGTTAATGTGTCTGCCCCACCTCCACCTGTTTAGCATGCAAGAGCTTCAGAGTGACTGACAAGCCAATCAATGCAGTGAGTCAGCACAGTTTGCTCAGCAAGAGCCCTCAGAGATGTGAGAGGAAGGGAGGTGGTGTGAAAAAGAACAAGAAATTGACTCGAAGATCTAGAAATGGATGAAAGAGTGGGTGGTAGAGACTTGTTTTTTTATTCAGCCCATCTGTTATTATTTCTCTGGTCATTGCTTTACTGTGCAAAAACACACAAAAGTCAAGATTTTCCTCCTCTCCACGTGGATGAATAAATAATCTGTTTAAAGTTATTTAAAAGTTTGAAGTTTTGTTAGATGTTTTCTTAATACATTACAAAAACGCATTTTCCAATGGGATAGAAAATGTAAATTTAAGCTCTATTTTATGAAAATAAGCTTTAATATCTTGCAACCTGGCAGTCTGGAATAGTATATATAATAATATATTTTTATACATTTTATTTATAAACATATAGAGAATAAAATAAAATATACATAATAATCCAGTAAAAATCCTTAAAACAGGATTTACATGCAGCTATTGTTAAAATAATTTCTTTATAAGTATTTTTGTTAAGTTGCAATATAATAATAATAATAATAAATATTATATCAAGAAATAATTTTTAATACTTTGTTAATTGATTGTTAGACTGATTGGTGTAATTTTAATTCATTCACAGTTCTTTATAAAGTACAGTTGCCAGCGGTTGAAACTGTGACTGATTAATTTCTTAATCAGCATTTTGTTTACATTAGAAATTGCTTACAATGTAATAATAACAATAACATACAGATTAAGAAATGATTTGAATAGTTTGATTGATTGTTAATCAGACTGAATGAAGCTGTTATTTAAATACCTCCACAGATCTTTATGAAGTACGGTCGCCAGCGGTGGAAGCTGCGGGGTCGGATTGAAATCAATGGCAAGCAAGTGTGGGACAGTGAGGACATGGTCTTCCTCCCCCTCATCACAGAGTTTTTGTCTATAAAGGTATTTTTTTATATGAATATAAAGTTACATTCACTCATATATTGTCTGCTATTTATCCCTCCCTCTATTTTCTCACACATACTATCAATCTCTGTCTCTCCTTCCTGTCACATTCACATGTGCACCACTGTCACATCAATCTGTGAGACATTAATGCACATAACAGCACTGCAGCTGGACTTTGACTTGTTTTTCTCTCCCAATGGTTCCAAGACACATAACTGCATGTGAGGGGAGGGGAACATTACTTCGGGATAGATAGAGAGAGGAAGACTGCGTGTACGGGATAGAGTTAGAGGAAGTTTACAGAAGACAGCGATATTAAAACAGAGAGACTCCAGGGAAAGAATGAAGAGAATGCAGCTGATGTAAAATGTACACTCCTGGGCAATTTTTTTTTAAATAAAAATTGTCCAGGCTAAAAAGCTTTAGTGGTCTTTTAATGGTCTTAACCTTTTTTAATCACATCACTAGTCAGGAAATTAGCAAGAATTGCACAAATACTGTAGATAAAGCAACTTAGCATGGAATAGCCTTTCCTGACTTGCAGACAGATTTTTACAGTAAGAAGAGTCTGTGTTGTTCCATTCAGTGTTAATAGCTTCAAACAGTCGAGTAGTTGAAAAATGTCTCCCAGTTAGTTTGAGTTTAATGTGAGACCAAATATTCCCTATAGGGTTCTAATCCGGACCCAAACGTTGCGATTTGGGCAGGTGCATTGTCTTGTTGAAAAATAACAACAGTCTAAAACGTTTTGCATATTGCACTGGTCATTAAAACTGATGATGAAATTTCCTCCTAAATAAACATCTTGTATGTATGTGAAGGTGACAGAGCTGAAGAGTCTGGCCAATCACGTGGTGGTGGGAAGTGTCTCATGTGAGACGAAGGACCTGTTTGCTGCCCTGCCCCAAACAGTAGCTGTGGATATCAATGACTTGGGCACCATCAAACTCAGTCTTGAGGTCACCTGGAAGTAAGTACAGCTTTGAGGCATCTCATAAAATTTTGTCAGATCACGTAGCGGAATTTTTAGCAAGAAAATTGGTGATAAAATCGATCAATATTCTAGTTTAAATGCCGTTGTCATGAAACATTCTCCTTCTTCTGTAGTCCTTTCGACAAAGATGACCAGTCGTCCTCAGCTAGCACCGTGAACAAGGCTCCTACTGTCAACAAACGCTTTTCTACTTACAACCAGAGTCCTCCAGACACACCCTCTCTACGAGAGCAGGCCTTTTATGTGAGTCTGTCCATTTGTCCAATTCTATTAAATTTACATTGTCCCTTGATTATACACAATGAGGTTCCAAATGTCTGAAACCTACAGTAAATTTTTTTTTTTTTTTTTTTTTTTTTTTTTACAAAAAACCTGAATCTACAATAGTACATTTTATTATAAATAATATAATTTAAATGAGTCATGAATTGAGAAATCTAATTTTCCTTGATTTTCTGACATAAGAGGTAGGTCATTGTACTATAAAAGTTTCAGAACTCAAAACTTCCCATTAGTCAAAAAACGGCTTTTATTGAAACCAAGCTCCAAAAACGACTTGTTTGGGATTTTTATAATGTAATAGTGAGACGAAAGGCCGCCTCTGCAGAATCAGCCCCGCCCACCGCTGCGTTAGTGAGATGAGAAGAGAGATACAGGATCACTGGGCTAAAAATAACATTACCTTCCAAAGGATCCCAATGCTAGGAAAGTGGTTATTTATTTTGTGAATATCTCAGTAGAGCATTATTTGTTTGTTTGGTACATTTCACTGAACTGCATTCTTTGGTAAATCAGTCGCATTTGCAGCACTGCCTTTGCAGACAGACTTTTACTGTAAGATACGGATGCAACAGTAATGCCACAACAAGTAAGTAACCGTGTTAATTTTAATCCCTAATATGTGACCAGTGATTTCTGATATGTAATGATTCATGTACAGTCAGACGTTCTTTATTGTCTCAAAATCGTTTATTGCTGTTTATGTGTCAGTAAATCAAGCCACTGACTAAACGGTCAACTTCACATTTCTCTTAGTAGCATAAAAAATATTCTGTTGTTTAAAATGTGATTAAATTATATACAGAAAGCGATTAAAGATCCCTATAATCTTATAATCACTGGAGTTGTGAATCACACAGCACGAGTTTATCAGTGACTCTTGCCAAAACTCCTGTTTGCCTTAGTTAGTTTTGATGAAAGCATTTGTGAGGAAAGAAATCTTGTTGCAATGACAAAATCACTGCATTCATGCGCTCAACGGCTAATGCTATAATTAAAACTTTTCACGATTAGTTAATCTCGAAAGCTGTAATGGTAAAAAAATGTAGTAAATGTTTTCTTGAGAGTTCCACATGTAATACTTATTTGCAAAGATGTTAGCCAATCATAGCAGTGGGAATTTACATTTACACACCCCTTTCAACAGGTCATTCAAATCAGAGTGCTTGAAAATGGCCTTTTATTTCAACATTTTGACAATGTTTGATGTGAAAATCATACTAACATTATAAGTCCACCTCAGGAAACATACAAAAAATGCAGTTCATGACCACTTTAAAATAATTAAAATCTATTATAATACTATAATATTTACAGTAATTTGTACGTTTTATTTAATTGTATTATTTACAATACAATACATAATACATTTACAATAGTAAAATTGAAAAACTGATCTGAGAATAATCCAAAGAGCATCTTGTGCTGCAGTAGAACCAAGAACATCTGATTGCCTGAACAAAAGTATCACATGATCAGTGTCACAACTTTGCATATTTGATCAGGGACTTATACATCTTACTTTTTTTCATTTATATTTTCCTAATACTTTCAATTTATATTGAACCCTCTCCAAGTTTATTTGTAATTTTGCACCCAATATTTTCAAGATGGCCGCAGACTTTTGGACTGCTCTGTATATCTACTTTGCTTCTGATATACTCCAGGGAGATTCATTTGATCTCAATTGATTCAAACAAAACATTTCTTCTAAGTGCATACCACCATAATGTCAATATACCATTCTTCTCTCTCCCCTTCCTAATGGAGGTCTCACACTTCTCCAGTCCCTCTTAAGATTTAAATTAAGGCTCCACATACTTAATAGTAGTCATTTCTCAGAAGCATCTTGATCTCACGAGGTCACAGTAACATAATGTCTCCATTTCAGATTAGCTCAGATGAGTTAGATGAAATGGAAGAAGTTTGGCTAGGCCAGACTCATAGTTTACTGGGTCAGATTACCTTGGGCCAAAAGTGATGTAGCTTTAGCCTGCACAAAATGCTCATGCTCTCCCGCTGTCTGCATGCAGACCGCCCCAGGGAGCATGATATCCCAACAGCGCTGGTCCTTACTGGATGTGTTCAGAGACACTCTGACAGAGAAACTTACTCAGAGCTGCTCGTGCAGCGACGTCACCTCGGTCCGCCTGGGAACCTCTCTGCTTTCCAGCCATGTAAGTGTGGTCGGTCTGTAGCGCTAGTAGTATAGCTTTAGTTAGTAGTCGGTAGTTAGCTAAAAAGGTGCGACTAGGGATGTGCCCGAAGCCCAAAAGGCATGGAAAATGAATTACGCATTCTACGTAGCCCCTAAAGGGACATGGTTAGGCTTGCTGCTGAAGTCGGTTACATTACACAACATCAGATTTCACTTATTACGTGAAGAGAGAGATGACTGACAGGACGATGGCGGAGGATTTGGTGCGCAACAGATCCTGGGTGTCATTGACAAATATCTGAACTTGTAAAATGTGGGGTCAGTACAATCCTTCCCCATACACAGAGTATGAGTGATCGCGAATTGGAAAGCGAAAGTAAAAAGCGAGCGCGCATTCAAAAGCAATTTCAATACCCCGCATATTGATAGCGGCTCCCTGATCCCCACAAATTATATACAACATAATTATCGAAATATATGTTTGCGAGAGGACGCAAAAGCATTGAAATATATTTTTTATATTTCATCTCATATTTCTTCCCATCACCATGTCCCTTTTAGGGGCTTCGTAGAATGTGTCATTTCCGTTCCGAACACAGTATTCGGCTTCAGGCACATCCCTAGATGTGGCTAAAACAGGTTTGTATGGTTCTTCTAGTAATGAGTAGTATCTGCCATCTATCTATGAAATTATAGTTGTTGTAGTGATGATTTCCACTGTGTCCTGTAGTTACTGTCAGTTGTCTTTAATTAAATAGAGCAAATTGGATCCTTGTGCATGTTATTCGTTGTCTGTCTGACTGTGAGTGACAATAGTAGCATCTACAGCCGTCAATAATGCATTCATTGATGCTGTTATTGTTTTGAAGGGTGGTCACATTAGCCCAGTGAGGCAGGGAGCAGCAACAGCAGAAGTTAATTAGAGGGAGCAGGGAGTGTTTTAGCTCACTGGGCCTGACGCCAGTCTGCTCTCCACTATAATGAAGCTCCCCCGTGTCCAAATATACACGCTAATGCTGAGTGACGAAGAACACACTCCTATCATCCTGTTGTATTGTCTTCTCCCTCCACAAACTAGCCTGCTGTCTGCTCACAGTCGTCATGTGTTATTTTAGCGTAATGTCTCACTATGGACCATATAGTAGAATATGAACTTTCACATGACTCCATCATTCAGGGCTTTTTATTTATTTAATATTTTTACTATTTTACTACATATAAAGTCTCTTTAAGACAAGTCAGTTCACTCTGTGGTCATCTTTGCCCCTAGACTATTTTCTATAGGCAATAGTCACACACTTAAATAAGGAAAGACCGAAATCTAGAAAGAAAACTGTCAACAAAATATAAAAAATTTGCAGTAACGAGTAATACCGAATGCATTGCAATTTTTTTGCTCAAATTATGTCCTTAAAAGATTTGTTTTTAGATTTAACTTGTAATGTGCATGCTGTATCAGTAAGGCATTTGTGTGTACTAAGGCCTTTAACTGAAAGACTGCTATATTGACCATTAAGATCATTCATTTTTCTTCTGCTTAGTATTTATTTGCATAGAATTATCTATAGTGTATAACATCATGATTATTTAAAAGTTTGGGGTCAGTAAGATTTTAGAAATAACTGTTTTAATTCAGCAAGGATTTATTAAATTGATAAAAAAAATTGACATTAATGGCATTTATAACGTCACAAAAGATTTCTATTCCAAAATAAATAATTTTCTTTTGAAACTTCTATTCATCAAAGAATCATGGAGAAAACTATTACGCTTCCACAAAAACATTAAGCAGCACAACTTTTTCAACATTGATAATAATAAGAAAAGTTTCTTGAGCACCAAATCAGCATATTAGAATGATTTCTGAAGGATCATGTGACACTGAAGACTGGAGTAATGATGCTCAAAATTCAGCTTTGCCATCACGGGAATGAATTACATTTTAAAATATATTCAAATAGATAAGTTATTTTAAATTGTAATTTCACATTATTAGTTTTACTCTAGTTTTGATCAAATAAATGCAGCCGTGTTGGTCATAAAAGACTGTCAGACAGTCTTTTAAAAACATTTAAAAAATCTTTCCAACCCCAAACTTTTGACCGGCTGTGTGTGTACAGCATTGTCTTTACAACTCAGTGTATTTAGATATCTGAAAGCTACGATTATTTGAACTTTGAGCACTGTGTTCCAGCTTGACGCTTTGCTCCAGAGTTTGATACTTTGAGAAACATTAACGCGAGTCATGTGAAAGGGTCTTTATTTAAATTATCATAATCATTTGTTTTCATCTTCATAATCTCTTTCTTCCCCACTAGAATATGTTGAGGAGGCAAGAAGAGATGGAGAACGGAACGGCTTGGTCAAACTCCTCTGAATCCTCAGATGATTCCTCCAGTCCTCAGCTTTCCTTGGGAATGCGTCACGCACACAAGAACTTAGTACAGCCTGAGGTACAAACTGCTCCTCCTGCCATTGAAATCTCATTTGCACCCCGTGAATCAGCGACCTCTACTCCCACCCGCCTGGCCAATCAGAAAGAAGAGGAGGAGGAGGAGGAAGAAGAGGAGGATCTGAAGAAGCCAGCAGCCTCCATAACAGTCACCACCGAGGCTCCTGTAAAACAGGAAGTGCCCAATGGCCACCCCAGCTATTCTCGCTCACTTAGCCATATCAGCGAGAACAGCGCAGATGGTGTTTCGATAGACAGACTGGCTGTGGAATCTGTGGAGGCCACTGAAGTAACTTCAAAGGTCTCTTCGGTATTTGTAAGTGACATTGCAATGGATATGCCCCACCGAGCAGAACCATGTTTTGTAGTACCAGACACTCAGGAGATCTGTCCCATTCCTGATCCTTCCACAAGTGAGCCATCCTGTCCCACTGAGCCACTGAACTGTTCAGAAAGTCGCTCTCCTGCAGAAACCACAGCTTGTGACTCAGCTGTAAAAGCTACAGAGCTCACGTCTAGTCCCACCTGTGGAGACAAAGACTCTTCCTCCAGTGCTATTGCTTTGTCCCAGCAGATGGACAATGGTGTTCCTAGGACTGGTTCCTCTTATGAGCCACACCACACAAAGACACAAACAGGTGACCTGCTGGCAGAGAAATCTGGTTCTTTAGTTGCCACCAGACCCATGGGTGGTTTGGAGGAACAATCAGCAGACAGCAACGTGGAAGAGGCCCTTAGTGGCGTTTTGTCCTCGCTTGATGACTACAGAGGCCAGTTCCCAGAACTGCAGGTCTTAGAGCAAGAGCTGAAGCTGTTGGAGGAGGCGCTAACAGTGAGTGCTGCAACTTTTTTACTGTTTGTGGGTTTGTTGTTGTGGTTTGGAGTCCGTTTTTTTAAATAAGAAATTGTCCACCAAGTAATGCAGTGCAACCAAATTTTTTATTCTTCATTTTTTTATTTTATATAGATAATTTTTATCTTCAAAAATATATTAATTATTTTAATAATGCTTATGATATGTACACTAACATGTATTTAAGTTGTTTGAAAAAGTGTTATATACAAAATATGATAAATACTTTTTTATTATTATTTAATTTATTTAAACTTAGACTGCATTTACATTTGGCATTAACATGCCTGATCAAGCAGTTCGTATCATCAGCCAATCAGGACACGGTGCATTTTCACTTGTCAGCAACAAGTGGCTTCTGTATCTGTGTACATTTTCGGATATCTGTTTCCCATGCAATATTTAAAACAAATGTGTATAATGGAAAATGTCGACTTGAAGTGGTGGGGTTTCTTTTAAAGACTATTTTCCATCTCTTGGCTACGCATTTCAAATCTCATAAAATGAGGGGGAGGTTTCAAATAATAATACATTGAATGTTAGACTTAGGGGTCCAAAATATGGGCCAGATGTGGTTGAAAAATTGCGCATCGTTTACAGACAATAAACGGCTGTGCAACTTTCAGGTGCGAAAGCTAACTTACTGCGTTCTACTCCGCCCTTGATTGTCACGCAAAAAAACCTGCTACATAATAGTGAGCGCTGTTTTGTGTAACGTTGACCTGTGAATGCAGATATGATGGCTAGATTGCATTAACATTACTCTGAGATCCGATCACAATGCATCTTCGACAGATATCTAAATCGCTATATTGATCAACATTTGAAACCTTTTATGAGATGGAGAAGGTCAAGGAGGTTGAAAATGAAGACAAAGTTGCTTTGTCCTTTCCATTTTAGGGGTCATTCACACAGAACATTTTTTTGCTGTTAAACCGCAAAATGCAGGTCAGTGGAGCAGAAAAAAATGCAAGGTCTGGAAATGGGTTTTTAAAAAAAGTTGAACTTATTTTAACTTGAGCGCTGCGTTTTTAGAGCGCTCCATCATGCACGAGATGCTGCTAAAGACGTGCGCAACTGTTAAACAAGTCCGTCTAGTGCGTTTGAATTGAAAAACAGCGGAAAAGTAGCGCAGTGGACTGGAAAAAAACTTTCTGTGTGAATGGGCTCTTAGGGTGTAGCTCTTCCTGGCTGACTGAGATGTTAGATTCTTCATGTTTCAGGTCCAGAAGCCTTTGGGTGTTCCTTGTATCCATGAGCCACGATAACCATCAAAGTCTCAGATCCGGGTTTGGGTTCAGAGGCTTTGGTCTTCATCTGTAGAACAATAGAGTTCATCAAAGACATGCCCCTTGCTTTTACTGTTAACCGCTTCATCCTGTGTCTGCAGAGGAGGTTTTCCCGGCACATCTTACCTTAGTCATAGACTAAACACAATGCGTCTCTTTCCAGAATTGGCCTTATGAATGTTCCAGGTTTTACAAGTTAAGCTCTATTGACACCGACTGTCATGTTGTTGATTAACAGATATAATTGCTCCTCGATTTGTAAAAAAACAAAAAAAACCTACAATTGCACTTTCAATAGAAGTATGTTTCTCAAGCTATTTTGAGATTTTAAGAGTTTAACATAAAAAATTTGCAGATTGGATGTTACTAACTTGCACAGACAAAGTTAGTTAGCGATTTCTATCATACAAGCTTCATGTTCACAATATCTGGCTATATTTTAGAAACAGTGTGTTTTTAACATAATCCTGTGCAGTGCCTTGCCCCAATAGACTTCAATTGGAAATGCATTGCTGTAAACATGAGTTTTGCTTGAATGTTCACTGTGGTAATTGACAATAATATCAGCTTATCAACAATTCAGCCTAGAACTTTAGGCCTTAAAGGGATAGTTCACTCAAAAATGAAAATTGTGTCATTACTTACTCACCCTCAAGTTGTACCAAACCTGTATGAGTTTCTTTTTTAACACAAAAAAATATATATCTTAAAGAATGTTGGCCCATTGACTTCCATTGTAGGAAAAATATACTATGGAAGTCAATGTCTGCCGTCAACTGAGCAAATGATGACTAAAATTGTATTTTTGGGTGAACTACCCCTTTTAAATCTGGGGCTTCTTTTAACTAATAATAATAATTTGATTGTAGTTTTTAATGACCTTTAGAAACATTTTACACTTTAGAGTTGAAGAGTTTTTCATTTTTAATTATTTATAAAACTAACTAGATTTATAGTTTGCAAATGTGTGTATCTGCAGGTACGAAGTCGCAGTCGCTCATCCAGTGTCAGTTTGACGGTTGAGACGGCTCTTGGAAGCTTTGACTTCCTCAATACATCAGACTTGGAGGAAGAGGAGGAGGAGGATGGCGAGAGGCAGAGTGTGACAGACAGGTCAGAACTTAAGAAATGTCTCACCTTTCTGCTATCAAGGGGTATTTTATAGTAAAGAAAAAAAGAGAGAAAGAAACCAAGTTCAACCAAGGTTTTTCATCAAAATACATTGCTTCTATAATGTTATGTGACACTACTGCCACCCAGTGCCTTGAAAAGACAACCGTTAGTTTGAGAGAATGACTGCACAACTTTATCTATGTTCAGTGCAGTCTCTTTACTCTTTTTCTGAAAATGTTTTTTGCCATTTTTCTTCTCTTGTTTGACGTGTGTTTGTTCTTGTGTATGTTTTGACTGATACAGCGCAGAGGAGCGTCCAGCGGCTGTGGAGAGCGCTGGAGAGGATGAGGGCTGTGAGGCGCGATGTTGGGACACTCCCTCCGGTCCTCTAAGCACGGGCTGCCCGGCTCTAGATCACACCCTGCTGGTTCATCTGAAGAACTGCAGCTCACAGCTGCTGGTCAGTTACTGTACTTCATATGGACATTTGGTTACACATATATGAGAATAATCGGCATGTGTGCAGAATTCTGTTTTGTTTCTGTTGTGTTAACCATAAGTGTAAATACATTATAACCCACAGAAGTATTATTGTTCTTCTTGAATTCACTTCTTGAATAAATAATCTTCAATAATAATAATTTCTAAAATTATAAAGGATGTTTAAATTAAAAAAGTCTTAAATTAACATTTTGAGTGTTTGTCTAAATGTGTATGTGTAGGTGTGTGTGTGATTAATTGGGATTAAATAGATTAATTGGCACATAATTAAAATACTACTGTTAACACTGGGAATTTTTATGTTTGAAGTGTTCTCTTTCATAGGTTCACTGTCTCGTTCCCTATTCAGAGAACATAGGTTACGTAAGTAACCAGAGACGTTTTCACTGTGTCTGAGCGTCTGTATTCATACTCTGTGTTTTGTTTTTTGAAAACAGAGGTTAGGCACATTCGGGCCTCTGCGCTGTGGGGAGATGTATGCTCTGGACCGACTTCTCAGGGAGGCGAGAGTCCTCGAGCTCATACGATGGGTTGTGAAGGACTCAAGGGGCGGAGTCATCCAACCAGAGGAGGGTGAGTCTCGCCGGTTTTTAAATTAAACCGTTATATTACTACTTTACCTCAGTTTTCTCTCTGGTGCTTCCTTTGTATCTCAACTATGTACTCTTATTTCTGTGCAAATGTTCATACATTGTTTGTCATGTGTCACAGATCTTACATTATACAACAGAATGTTATTACACGTATTTGTCAGTATTTTTTCCTCTTTTTCTGACATTGTCTTTGTTTGTCGGAGCAGTTGTTCCTCAGTTAGATCAGTGCCAAGGGGCTGTGTTGCTATGGCGGCAGTGCACGGATGGCTGCAGTGTGTACAGCACCTCCACAGAGGCCTTCTTACAGGCGCTCAGCGATGCTTACGCCAGCAGACTCCCAGAGAGAGGAGTCGGCTTCACAGACACAGGTATGTGTGTGGCTGTAGTGTATTAATGCATGAACAAGCACTGGAAATGAGTTATTGGCTGATTGGTTTCTAAATTGAAATCGCTGTTCAATCCATTAATCAAGATAAATTACAACCTTAACTATAACTTCCTGTATTGCATCTACTGGAAGTATTTAATCTCCTGCTGATCATTGTTTCTGATGAGACCGTAGACTAAATTGCAGTAGGCCTAATCAGATTGTCTTTTGACGCTCTGTTACACTGAACTTATGTGTGTGTGTGTTAGTGTTTCTTCGTCTGCTGGAGCGGATCCTGGAGAGGAAGCTGCCCAGGCGTGCAGGATGCGTGTCCAAAGAGACTCTCACCCTCTTCCAGTTTTGGAGCTACCTGGAAGCAGAGGGAGTGAATGACTTGGACACACACATTCCTGAGCTGGCTGAAGAAGGTACATTTGAGGGCTAGATGAAGGCCTGTGTACATGGACAGTAATTTGCAGCGACAAATCGACCAGTAAAAAAATGTAAACATCCTTAAAAAAAAAAAAAAAACACAATTGTGCTTCTCAAATAAATGTAAGATTTCAGAGAATCTTGTGCTACAGTCCACAAAAGTTTGGAGTCAGTTAGATTTTTCTATAGTAAATTTACTTTTATTATTGATCATTTTAAATAATTTTCATAACCTTGATGTCATTTTTCACAACTCTAGACACAAAACTCACAACCAATGATCAAAATGCACATTTTTCAAAACTCTAACCATTTTCTAAATTGCTTGGATACAATACACATAAAACTTAGATCATTTGTTCATTCAACAAAAATCACCTGTTCAATATGACACAACTTAACATCAAAGTACTACTATTTCAAAAGGTAATTCACACATTACATTTCAAATGAGTGTCTATTCATTTCCTTACAATGATCTAACTATCAATTGATACAACTGCTCAAAATGATAAGTAACTGTTGCAGTACTCTTAATGCATAGTTGAATGGAAACAGACACACAATCTTCCATGTTTACAGTAAATCATGAAAGTTTCAAGATAACGAGATTCATTGTCACCAATTAGCGTGGAGCATGAACCAATTAGACAACAATATCCATGGATGTAACCTAATACTTTATATTTTTGCTTTGATTCCAATAAACCTATGTTGTGATTGTACTGTAGTGTTTTGCATCAATATATTACAAACTTTGTTCAGTGATTCCACTATGTCTGTATTCTCTCTACTACTGCAGTGCTTTTACAGAGATGTATTTACTGTAATTGTAGTACCATAATGAAAACTTGTTTCACCTATTTTGTTTATTTTCTATATTTAATGATTGTACGAACAATGACACAGTGAAAGTATCGGTTGCTTGTGTGTGGGTGATCTATAGTTCTGTTTCAATGGTATTTCACAGTAAATTTGTTTTTTGAACCAATGATTGTGCAAGTGCAAGATTTCTTTAAAGATGTGAATGCACAATGCAATGTTTTGAATATTAGACAGCCTGTGTTACAAGTGATAACCGTTTTGAGTTTTGTGTCTAGAGTTTTGAAAAATGACATCAAGGTTCTGAAAATAGTAGCAAAGTGATTGTAAAAAAAACTGTAATAATACATATAATTTTATTTTTATTATACTTTTATTCAGCAAGGACACATTAAATTGATCAAAAGTGAGAGTAAATAAATGCTGCTCTTTTGAACTTTCTATTCATCAAAGAATCTTAAAATAAAAATTCCACAAAAATATAAGCATTACATCTTATTTTAACATTGATAATAATAAGAAATGTTGCTTGAGCTCCAAATCAGCATATTAGAATGATTTCTGAATGATCGTGTGACACTGAAGACTGGAGTAGTGATGCTGAAAATGGCATCACTTACATTTTAAAATATATTAAAACAGAAAACAGCTATTTTAAATAGTAATGATATTTCACAATTTTACTGTTTTTACTGTATTTTTTTTTGGAGGTCAAAAAACACTTTAATTTTCTCTTAAAATACTTTGCACATTACCTAGTTTCTCTAAACCCCTACTTTCCGCCAGCTTACTCCGCTGTGGTTGGTCTGAATAACTTTATTTGTCGTGGACTTTGAACTTTAAAACTTTGCAGACTTTTACATTCACAAACAGCTATATTACACACTGCATGAAGCATAAATAAAAAATTAGTAATAGTATTTCACAATATTACTGTTTTTACTGTATTTTTGATCAAATAAATGCAGCCTTGGTGAGCATATAAGACTTATCCAGACAAATCCAGATTTATTTATTTTTGGCATTTAGAGTTCTATTATTAAGCATAAATCTAACAATATATTTTAAAGATGGTCCTTTAAAAACAGAACAGTATTTGCCAAATGGGTAAGAAAAAAATCACAAACAATATGCAAACTATTTCCCCTCCAGATCATATATTTTTAGTGGCAAAACGGATTTGTTTTCAAAATAGAATTACATCTTATTTTACTTGGGCCTGGTTTCACAGACAGGGCTTATATTAAGCCAGGATTAGGCCTTAGTTCAATAAGGAAATTTAAGTAGCTTTAATAAATGTGCCTTAGAAAAAAAACTTTACTGGTGTGCAACTTGAGACAAAACAATGGCAATGACATTTTAAGATGTGTCAGTACAAGTTGCTTTCAGTTAAAACAGCTCAAACATGCATTTTAGTCTGAGACTAAGCTGAAGCCTTGTCTGTAAAACCAGGGGGTAGTTTTTTAAAAACTAGTTTACAGCTCACCAATGATGTTACGTCATTCAGCAGCAAAAACACCTTATTTGACCAACTTTACAGCCATTTGGGACCTCCAGCATTAAAATAACTGTCAGTGTAACAAGAATTGAGTGACTGCTGGATGCTAGAGAGAGAAAAGGTGATCAGAAATGGGATTGAATGGAAAATCCAATGTACACTGAAAGTTTATTACAAATTGAGATCTTTCGTTGAAAAAGAGCAATGTTTTTGTCGCTGCTGTGTGTTGCTGCTGATCGTTGTGAATTGTGAGCGCCCTTAAGTGTTAATGGACTATAACATTCATTAGCAAGAGTGATCTGCAACGCATCTGGAGTAGTATCAACCCCTCCCAAGTCCCAACACCCCCATTCAACCTCTCTGTCATTGTGGTTTCTCTGTGCATCTTTCCACTCCTCCCCCGCCTCATGTTTTCTCTGCAGTGTATCCGTTTCATCCACGTCTCTCTTTCGTTCTCCTTCTCCTGCAGTGTGGCTAGTTCAGTGCCTGCAGTCTGGAGATCAAGATGTTCTGGTAAAATCTTTGAAGAAGCCTCCAGAGTGTAGTCTGAAGAGGGAGGGCTTGCGGGCAGTCAGTCTGCTGCTGAGGGACCCGAGGGGGAAAGTGTGCAGTGCTGCCAGTTCACTGTTGCGGAGTCTAGCGGACCAAACCCGCCACAGGGAGAGGGTAAGAAGAGCGCTTAACCATCCTCCTGCAAAAACTCTCTGTTTGTGCTTTTGGAGGTGAATATTTCAACAGATTTGGAGGTCAAATGAACTTCAGGAACTTGCACATCCACGGTTATTTATCCATGCTCCACTTGTTTATGATGAATATTTACTTTTTTTAAAAACATAATAATACCGTATTGGCTCAAATTAAAAACAAAATACTTTCCTACAAAAGCAATATCACAAGTTTAAGTATAAGCTATGAGATCACATGGTTTTTAAGATAATGAGAAGCATTAATTCTGCAAAATGTCTCCAAACTTTTCCACACTAAATGCTAAATTTCCCCTATTTTTAAATTTAGATGACATTTTCTGTCATGTAATGCAATGATTATCATTAACTAAAACCATATATGTTTTTTTAATTACTATAATAAATAAAATAATAAAAATATTATAATAAAATAATAATAATAAAATAAAATTTTATTTCAGCTAGTTGCAAAGGCATTTTTTTCTCACTTTTGTATAGTTTAAGTACTAAAATGACTAAAACTACATAAACACACAACAAAATTACTAAAACTTGAACTAAAATTAAAATGAAAACAGAAAACATAAAAGTAAAACACACTATAGTAGTAGATCAGTGATACTAAAATAACATTTTCTAATGCTCACTTAAAGTTAATCTTAAAAAACACTAATAATTTTGCATTGTAAAATTTAATCTTTAAAAAAAAATGTCATACTGTACTGCATTGTACATAATGTTGTGATGCCTAAATTCACTAGTAGCATTTAAAATGATATATTTTAGTTTTTAGTGTTATATTTTTTTATTTATTTAATGTTTTAGGCAAAACAGTATATATAATATGTCATTTTAATACTGACCATTTATCAGTTATCCCCCATAACATGAAAACAATAATGGGCTTTGGTATTGGCCAGAATGTTAATATTTTTGCATCCCTAATCATCACTATTAAATGCAAAGTAAAAGTTTGAATGCTTTGTTATTCAGAAAGGGTTTAGATTGAATCCTCTCAGTGTCTCTCATTATTGTTCTGTCTCAGGCGCTGGTGAGCTGTCTAGAGTTGCTGGAGGATGAAGGCGTTGAGACGCGAGTGTGTGGATGTAAAGCACTCGCATGTCTGAAGGTCAGTTCATGCATGGCTAAACATTTCTCCTCAATAACTCAGTCCCACTCAATCAACATACATTTTTTTCCTACACTGTTTATATATATGCTTGCATAACTTCAAGAACCTGGTGGTTAGATTGGCTGTAGTGATTTGAGTGGGAATCACATTGTATGCAGCATCACACCTCAGTGTTGGTGGAGGACTTTAAGTAAAGTGTCTGTCTGTGTTTGTGCATCACAGGCCAAAGAGAGCATTGAGCAGCTGGTGTATCTGTGCCGGACAGATAAAGAGGATGTGAGGGATGCTGCCAAACAAGCTCTACTTGTGCTAGGTAAGCAGTGAATGAACTAAACAACAGAAAATGGACTAGTAAAGGAAAGATCAGTAATGAAACTGAAAGCATGGATCTGCTGCAAATGTGAAATAATGTGTTCCAAAAGTGGTCCCACGGTGAGCCATGGAAAAATTGAAATTATCAGAATTTCATTCCCGGTCCAGAAAAATACATTCTTATAGTTTTAAAAATAGGTAAAGTTTTGCGCCATAATTTGTGAACAATTTATGAACATAATGTGATCATGATTTTTCGATTAAATGCCAAAACAATTTAGTCAAAAGGTATTGTCATTTTAAGGAGGAGGACAATGTATCTTATTTCCATTTCATTTGTTTTAATTGCAGGTGAGGAGGGGAAGATGGCCCATCGACACCTTGAGTCCTCACAAGATGGGATGTCCCGCCTTTTTGCACCCGGCAGTATGGCCAGTACGGCTTTCTAACACAATCAACTGGCCGATACTTGTTGAAAACAATGTACTTGCGTTTCAGTATCCTCACTGTCACGATCATGCCAATTACAAACTATTAAATGCACACTACTATCAAACAGTTTTAAATGACACAAATCAGCGTGATCACACTCTTACAGATAGAGTGTCAGCATTGTCCTCAAAGACATGGACGAATGTTTTACAATCAATAGACGAGGACTTGTATGTCGGTCTGTATGTTATTCATATTTTGGACATGGCCTAAGATGAACTACTGTAAAGTGATGAGGTAAGATACATAGGTGGGTGTGGGTTTATAAACAATGTTTTGCTGCCTTAAGTTTCGGCCCAATGGTGTTGCCTTCATGATTCATGGAATGAAGCTGGACCCTAGTCAGCAATACAAGTGATGACTGATAGTGATAGGAGATAAAGTGATATTTTCTCTTTATTGATGCAAGTAGGCAGTGACTAGCTGCAGAGTACATGGAGAATATGATTGACCACTTTGTGAAGAGTGCTCATGTGTGTGTACATATTGATTGGAGAATGTATGTTGATAGCTGAGTTCACACCTCAGAAAGTAGGATGGGGATCTTGGAAAATATTTCCTTATTAATCCCAAACTTTCATAGGGACTTTGTTGCCATAAAAGTGTAACAGTGCCATTCCATACTGTCATATTCTTTACTGATACAGAATATATATCTATATCCCATTGGAAGTGTAAATGTTTTGTGTTGTAATTTAGTTTAAATGTTTAAATGCTCAATAGCAAATGCAGATCTGATTTGATTCACCATGCACTTCACATTTAAGCCACTGGCAATGTGATATCTGCTGTAAAAGTGGTGAAGCTGTTCATTTTTTTTATTCATTCTTAAAGATGTCATCATTATTATGGAGTTAAAGCTGTAAACAGTGGTGAATATTGCCTTTTGAAATGGGTTCCGACAACCTCTCTGTGCTTGTGATCTTTAGAGTGGCCATAGATCATGTTTGACTCAGAGCATTTCTCCAGTGCTGCTAGACTGAAAGGTTCTGAGTTGAAACCAGGGAAGGTTCATTTGTTTTTAAATATCATTATTTTCTAGTTCAATCTGTTTCAGGCTTCAATATGACAAAGAACGCCTCTTCAGTGTATAAGTGCCTCAAATTAGTATGGGGAGCAAGAGAATGAGATAGATAGACTTTATTTAAAACTCAAGACTGTGGTTTAGGATTGCAAACTGCAGAACAGATTTAAATATATTTTTCATTATTATCTACAGATTGTGCAGCATTAAATAACTGATTTACTTTTGATTTTTTTTTTTTACTCTAAATATGTATATTGTCTGACAAGGATATTGTTGACATCAATTCAAACTGTAAAGGAAACTATTAAAATTATGAACACTAAAACTTGCCTGATTTGTTAACAAATTTGTTATTTGTCACAAAGAAAATTTGAAAAAGGGATACATATTTTGAGCATTTCCACATGTATGCACACACATGCTCAAATAGACTAATTCAATAATAAAGGAATCAACATCAATCAAAACAGTATTACATAATAGAGGAGTCAAATATCAATAGTGTATTGATTAAACCAGGGTTCCCACACTTGGTGTGATATATAGACACACTTGATATATACACACACACACATACATATATATATATATATATATATATATATATATATATATATAGTGTGTGTCTGTTTTATATGTACTGTATACTATAAAAACACTAACGTTATCTTTTAAGATTAATCTACAGATTTCATTTACATTTTATAGGCTTTCACACTGATATTTCCAATTTGGGAGTGTGGGAACACAGTTAAGCTATTATATTCTCTTCTAATACCTTCTTATATTGTAATAAGAGGATCAGATAATGTAACGTTAAACATACTTTGATATTAATTTGACTTAACGTCTAAAAAAAGCCCACATCCCGTAATTCAAAAGTAGCGCCCCACACGGCCAATCCGCACACTGCTTTTGTTTACAGCCCTCCCCCTCGCCACCGCCCCCCTGCGTGACGCGCATGCGCAACAGCCGCTAAGGGCCGCCATTTTGTGCGGAGCCTACTCTGCAAAAGCGGGAGAGGATTAAAACCGCCGGAGGTGAAGGACGCAATATTACTCCGTCTCGTCCTAAAGGAAGAACAAACCCTGGGCTTTCTGTCGAATTCAACGCGAGAGCAAATCACCAAACGCAGGTAAAACAGCGCTACTTTTCCGAAAGGGGGGAGTTTTGCAGGAGCTTTAATCGGCCTCTAGGTGTCACGATGGGGCTCCCAGTGCAGGCGGCTGGCGGGGGGTGTTTGTCTCCCTCTATCGTTATCGAAAATTTAGCAAAAAACATTTATAACCCAGAAGTTCGGGCTTCAGCCTGATTATTAAGCACTATTAAGACTATATCAGACGGCATTTCACCACGATGTCATTATTTAACGCCAGGATGTTTGCTTCAATCTTTAGGCCAGGCGTCCATTTTCTGTTTCTTCTCTTTGTTTCCTGTCTTTAGAAACCCGCCGTTTCTGCACGCGCACTTAGCAAACCAGCTAATATGCCTCTTAAAGTTAACCAATTTGCAACAATACATGGACCAAACAGTTTAGAACAAGCACCTAAATACACAAACGTCAAATACGCGAGGTTTTACTCGTAATATGTACTATTTTAAGCCGTGTAACATATTTTAGCTCGCGCCTATCGCCCTGTTCGCGCCCCTCCTCGAGCAGTTAAATTCAAACCCGAGGCGATGAAACATTGACCCGGTTCTGCGATAATAAAGTCCCATTACGATGGCCTCTGATCGCTCTTTGGTCCTTATCACTCCTAAAATCCCAAATGACATGTTTAAGTCTACGTTGAACTAAAAAGAAACTGCGTCTTTGATTTAGCATATGTCCTGTCGCCGATGCTAGCGTGTTGCGCAGGTTAAAATCAAACGAGGAAGATGCCGTTGCCAAACTATAAGGATAGCCATTTTCGATAAGCAAGACCGAGCCTCGCCTCACACTCCTCGAATCCCAGCGTTTATCGCATGAAAACAGCCGGATCGCCGCAGTCGTTGGTCTCGGTGCGACCGCTCACTCTTGAAAGACTAACCTCAAGCAACAAACGACTGAAGGGATAAAAACTGTAGAGAGCTCCCTCTACAACCCGACTGGTAGTGGTACAAAAACACGATTAACCATCGCAGAATGCCCTCTTGCTGTGGAAAATCATAAGGGTGTTTTAAAACGTGTGAAGGTAAGGATAGTGGGACACATTTTGTCGGTTTAATGGGTTGGTGGCCAAATGCGCGCGATCATGAGGAAGTAGAAGCGAGAATCGGTTAAGATGATGCTTTCTGGCTTCGAATCAAGAGTGCAAGACTTGGTTTTGGTTTGATAGAACTCACGTTCAAGTTGCAAGTTTTCCGAGGTTATTTATTAGTGTTAATGTGTTAGGAAAACAAACTTTTTATATATATATATATATATATATATATATATACATACACACGTGTGTGTATTTAGGCTATATATAATGTGTATATGCACACACACACACTATAATATTAATAGGTATATTAATTAACCCCAAAGAGGGGTGTGTTAAAGGGGGTAAATAGCTGTAAACTGAAAGTATGTTTTGCACATTGATGGATTGATTTGTTTGCATCCCAACAGGTTGAGCTAGGTAGTAAGAAGCAGAATTGAGACAGGTAGCACATTCATCGGAGGCAGAAAGTGGTGGAGGCAGGGGTAGAGAGATGAAGTATTCCTTTTTGATGCAGGTAAACTCACAGTACTCTATACAAACACCAAAGTCATGGATACCTATGGATGTGCCAACTCAACTCTTTTGTTCACCTTTTGCAAGGTTGATAGCAGCCTGTCTCAGTGTGTGTATGTAAGTAAACACTACAGATTGCAGTCAGGTAGGAAAACTTTAGCGTCTTGCATCTAGTGTTACATTCTAACTTTTTCGCTTTTAATTACAATAGGTATTACCCATGGAAGGGGGACCGACTGAGGCGGTGGTGGAAGATGCAGGGGATGCTTTCAAGGCCAAGGAATGTAAGACCTACCAAAGGCGGCGTGAAGATGAGGAAGTGGGAGCTGAATTGTTGCAGGCTGCTGGGTTAGAGCAAGTCCAGATTGAAGGACAGCCTGTGGTGGAGGCCCAGCAACAGTTGGTCGAGAGTGTAGTTAATGTCAACAGCAGTGTGGAGATGATGGTGATGGACTCCCTGGACCCTGCCCTACTCCAGATGAAGACCGAAGTCATGGAGGCTGCTGTCGGAGCACCTGTTGGTGTGGCTGGTGCTGCCCATGAAGCCACAGTCACAACTGTCGATGACACTCAGATCATCACCCTGCAGGTGGTGAACATGGAGGAGCAGCAGTTGGGCTTGGGAGAGCTTCAGCTAGTGCAGGTGCCTGTTTCTGCTGTCCCGGTCACTGCTGCCACTGTGGAAGAGCTGCAAGGGACACTGGTTGATGCCACTGTCATGCCTAAAGATGGGGATCCAGTCATCTGTCACACCCTGCCATTGCCTGAGGGCTTCCAGGTTGGCCATAATTTCCGCTTTGAACAGACTACAGTTTTAAATCCAATGGGCTCTGACTATCTGGTGAATTTAAATGTTATATCTTCTTGACAGGTGGTCAAGGTGGGTGCAAATGGAGAAGTGGAAACTGTGGAGCAAGACGAGCTCCATGCCCAAGAGGATCAGCCTCCACAGCAGGAGGAGGAGGAGATGGGTGAAGCCCAAAATGAAGACCCCGCGTGGTCCAAAGATCCAGATTACACGCCCCCTGTTAAAAAGGCTAAGAAGACTAAGAAAAGCAAGCTGCGCTACAACACGGAGGGCGATAAAGACATGGACGTGTCTGTGTATGACTTTGAGGAGGAGCAACAGGAGGGACTGCTTTCTGAAGTCAATGCTGAGAAAGTTGTGGGTAATATGAAACCACCTAAACCAACCAAAATCAAGAAGAAAGGTGAGAATGTGTGATGCATACAAAGTGAACAGGGTCTTGCATAATATTAAAATATAATCTCAATGTTAAATCTGTGGCAGGTCTACTAAATCACTGGATTTTCTCCACTGCGTACAGGTGTTAAGAAGACATTCCAGTGTGAGCTGTGCAGTTACACCTGCCCTCGCCGTTCCAATCTGGATCGCCACATGAAGAGCCACACGGATGAGAGGCCTCACAAGTGCCATCTTTGTGGACGAGCCTTCAGGACTGTGACATTGCTGAGGAACCATCTCAACACCCACACAGGTACATGATCTCCTTTCAATCCATTAGTGGAAAGGAAAATATAGGCTGTCTAGTTTGAATTAGAAATTGAACCAACCTTTTATTCTTCCTGACAGGCACCAGACCACATAAGTGCACTGACTGTGACATGGCCTTCGTCACCAGTGGAGAGCTGGTGCGACACAGACGCTACAAGCACACTCATGAGAAACCATTCAAGTGCTCCATGTGTGACTATGCTAGTGTAGAGGTCGGTCTTATAGCATCACAATTAGATTTAATGGAGAAATGCATGCCCTTTTTGATTCCCTCTATTGTCCCTGAATTTAACTGAGCATTAACACATTTCAGGTTAGCAAGCTGAAGCGGCACATTCGCTCCCACACGGGAGAACGTCCGTTCCAGTGCAGTCTGTGCAGCTATGCTAGCAGAGATACCTATAAGCTGAAGAGACATATGAGGACCCACTCGGGTCAGTAGCACATATACCATTTCTCTTTAATTCTTGCGGATTGATTTTTTTTGGTCTGTTATTTAAATAGAAATAGAATTCAACTTTTTTTCTGTCCAACAGGAGAGAAGCCCTATGAGTGCTATATCTGTCATGCACGTTTTACCCAGAGTGGTACCATGAAGATGCACATTCTGCAGAAGCACACAGAAAATGTGGCAAAATTTCACTGCCCTCACTGTGACACAGTTATTGCTCGCAAGAGCGATCTCGGTAAAATTTCATTTTTCATTTTGTAGTTTTTAATGGCTAATTATAGTGGGGTTTTTAATGCCAATGACAGCTTGGGACATACTTGTGGTTTATTGAAGTTAAAATGTTTAATTTGTGCCCATTCCAGGTGTGCACCTCCGTAAGCAGCATTCCTACATTGAGCAGGGCAGAAAGTGTCGTTACTGTGATGCGGTGTTCCATGAGCGCTATGCTCTCATCCAGCATCAGAAGTCCCACAAAAATGAGAAACGTTTCAAGTGTGACCAGTGTGACTATGCGTGCCGTCAGGTCAGACAGTTTATGAAATTGTTTTAATTGTTCAGCATTGTTCAGCATAAGCATTCGTTAATTGCAGTGTCGTCCTTGCTAACAGGAGCGTCACATGGTAATGCACAAGCGCACCCATACTGGGGAGAAGCCATACGCCTGCAGCCAATGTGAGAAGACTTTCAGACAGAAACAGCTCCTGGATATGCACTTTCGGCGCTATCATGATCCCAACTTTGTACCCACATCCTTTGTTTGCACCAAATGTGGCAAGACCTTCACTCGCAGGGTATGGTACATTTCAAAGAGGTCAAATGAATTTTATGGTGCCAATCGATACAGTAATCGGTGTTAACGTTTTTTTATTTTTTATATACACTTTTAACAGAATACCATGGCCAGACATGCAGAGAACTGCACTGGTGTGGATTCTGCTGATGGAGAGAACGGAACTCCACCCAAAAGGGCTCGTGGTGGCCGAAAGAGGAAGATGCGCTCTAGAAAGGACGATGACGACGATGATAGCGGTGAGTAGCTTGGCTCTAGTTCTGCTAGTGTGACTTTAGTAGCTGAAGAAATACTTGATTTTGGACTATTAAGATAACTAGGTTATCTGAACCTGTTGTAACACGTGGATTATTAGAATGAAATGTGTATGATTATGTGCTAAATGTAAATTATTACTCTTAATGGTTTTATGAAAGCTTTAACTGTTGCCTGAATATCTCAGATGAGCATGGAGAACCTGACCTTGATGACATTGATGAAGAGGAAGAGGATGAGCTTCTCGACGATGAACAGATGGATGTGGAACAGGCTCCACCCAGCGTTCCCATCCCCGCACCAGCTGAACCTCCCGTTAAGAGGAAACGGGGCAGACCCCCCAAGAATGCACCCAAGCCCTCTCCTACAAAGTCTGTCGCCAAAACCACCACAGGTACTGTGTGTGCGTGTGTGTATTAAGACAACCCATTCAAAATCTTTTAGCAGGGTTAAACTAAATCACCCTCTCCTTCTCCTTGCAGCTGCTGCCATTATCCAGGTGGAGGATGAAAGCACAGGGGCCATTGAGAACATCATTGTGAAGAAGGAGCCTGAGGGCTCTGATGCTGCTGTAACTGCCCAGCCAGTGGTGGAGGAAGTGGAGGCAGTCGAGGCTGGTGTAGAAACAGTGCAGCTAGCTGTCCCTGAAGCTGCACCTAACGGTGATCTTACTCCTGAAATGATCCTTAGCATGATGGACCGGTGATCTGGGGATGCGTGTGGACACACAGGCTGATCACACATGCTTGCTTATATGCACATCCCCATATGTGTCCCCTGAATATATATACACACACATATACATACATGCTCACATACCCCCCCCCCCCTTTAATTCCAAGCTAAGGCCTCATGTCCTGCATCAAATTTCTTAAAGACTCCATTGTTCCTCTTCCTTTTCCTATAAAACTCCAAATTATCAATGTCCTAAAGTTCTTACATTTTGTCTTCTCATGACGATCACAAAGCTGCGCTTTTCTACTGTTTCTATCACACCAGTGGTTCAACTGCTGAGTTATGTTTTTGCTGTGTACTTGGAGAGGCCAGATGATTTTTGAGAGCAGGAATGTCCCTGACATAACGTGGTATAATACATGCATCTAGACTTTTCTTTACCCAGCTAACCTTCTGTCTTCATTTGTCCATTCAAATCTGACATTACCATGGCAATATTGAGAAACTATATAATTTTGTGCCTGGTCAAGCCTTGCTATCTAGAATCGCTGTCACTGCTGTAGAAATGGGTGTTTTTACCCCCTCTGTCCAAGAAAATCCTTTCAATGTTTGACATTTATGATGACTTTTATTCCCTGTTTGTTCCTCATGTGCTCTTTCACTGGTCACAGATGATAATGTTAGGGAGCGTAGAAATGTAGCCGCCGAATTATCATGCCAGAGACGATGACATCCATCCGTATGTTAAAAAAAACAACCTGCAGTTGATAAATTTGTACAAAAAAGGTAATCTTGGCTAGTCTTGCTTGTAAATAATTTTTATTTTCTGTTTTATTATGAACATTTTAATCTTTTTCTAGTGAATTGATGACCTTGAATGCTAGGGCAATGGCTTTTAACATTAGTTTGGAAACATGCCACGGAAGGCTTTCAAATGACTTGTGGCGGAAAAATAAAAGCCTGAACAATCATGTAGGCTGCATAACCCCCTTTCTTTCTGTCCTTCTGTAGCCTGAATCGTTGCATTTGAGTCTGCTCAACTCGCTTGATGGGGAAGGGGTTGCTTAGTCTTTTTATGAGAGAGTGGCTTTAATATTGTTCCACCTGACGGATAGGCTTCCTTGTTGGATTGTGTTCTAGCTTTTGGAAAAGGAAGAAAAGGGACAGAACTGTCTGGGCAGGTACAGCAACGTGCATGACTCCAATCATTTTGATCTGTTTTGATGTGGTCGTGTTCCCGACAACCACCCCTAATATTAAACCGTTTGTGACACGAGTTGTTAATTTCATGGGATTCTGGAAGGAGACTTAAAGTTTACAATAGGTTTTTCAGACCACATTTAATTTAAGAAGTTTAATATGAGTGTTCGAGGAAGCTATTTTGATATGAGCTGTTTCTAGAAGAGGAAGCTTGGATAGGATATTTGTAAAAAGTTATCACTTGTTCAAAAGAGCAATGTCCTTATTTCTGATCATTTGTTTTTCAGATTCAGAATGAAGTTTTCCTCCAACATGTAATTGCATTTAAATTGCTTTTTTTTAAGCTCTTAATTCTAGGTTAATGCTTTTTTTTCTTTTCTTTTTTTTTTTTAACCTAGCTGTACTATTTGAATTTTACAATGGTCAGAAAACCAACCTTATAAAGACATTTATTTTGGCTGCGAGGGTATATAGAGGGCCTATAAGGTAAGATGGTGTGGAGAATGTATTGCTGTACAGCTAATAAAAAATATTGTCCTTATCAATGTTTGTCTGTTATTCCATCTTGATGCAATTGTTTGCTACTTGAAAGAATCACAGATTGTTTTATTCTGTGCCAAGTTACAGCAGGGGGAAAAAGGAATCATTTGCACCAGTAAGCACCAAAGAAGGTTTAAAATAGTTTAAATTGTCTGCCTTAAGATTTTTTTTTTTTATTTTTTTATCTGCCAAGCAGCTGAAACATTAATTATAGTAAATATTGCTTCAGCAATGGAGTAGAAATTCTCTTAGACTTGTGTAGAGCTTTGTTTTCACCCAATTTTAAAAAATGTAAGGTATTTTTCAGGATAGCAACAAGTGACAGTATCTCAGATACAATTTTAGTTGGAAGGGTTGTCACAATTTCCTAGTGAACATTCCACTAGAGGGAGATACTGGGTAGAAAAATGTCCATTTAGCAGTTGTTGTTTTTTTAGCAACAGTAGATCTTAAGAGTAAAGGTTACTGGTGCAGCATTTGATTTTCTATATATCTGTGAAGCGGACAGCAAAACCACTGACTGGAGCTTTACATATTAACAGTTGCAAACAGATATATCTAATCTGTATTGGTGTTGAAATGATTGTGCTATGTGAGAAACTGCAAATCTTGAAGTGACTGCGATAGGATGCTCTTCATGCAGTTCAGGTGTCACATCCTGTCTCAGACCTGTACTCTCAAACTGTGGTTTTCCCCTATAAGCATGAATCATAAAGCAGCAGGATGTGTGTGTATGTTCAAGAGTGTGTCACACACTGCCAGCGCTGGCCTGACTTCACCCTGTTGTCACTGACATAGTGAGCAGACATTATGGCGGCGCTGACAGAGGTCCCATTTTGCCTCAAAGGTAAGGTTCTTATACAATACTTTCAAAACATGCTACAGAAATGCGTGCATACATTTTTTAAATGATGTGATAGCATTATAGTGCAGTGCTTAGAATATTAATTTTTTAGAGTGATGTGCAGTTCTGCATAAATGGTTCTATGCTTGGTTTACAGAAGGCATAACTCAGTATCTGAAGCCACAAAGGGTTCAGTTCATGAGTCTGGTGCATATCAACCAGTGCAAGGGACGAGCAGAGAACAGAGTTTTGGTATGTCAGCCTCTCACCCTCAAATTTTCTAATAATGAATATATATTTATTTTTATTTGTGTAATGCAATTTTTTATTTTCTTTATATATACATATACAACACATAAACACAAATATCTGCAACAAACCGCATAGTAAAACGATCATGTTACATATTTGTGGAAAAATGTTTTTTTTTTTAATGAAAAATATATATTTTTTTACAAACACACATATACGTGTGTGTATATATATTTTTATATATATATGTGTGTGTATATTTATATATAACATCTAATAAAACATTGTATTTAGTAATACACTTTTAACAAATATAAGGAAAAAATTTATATGAATTTCAGAATGTTTCAGTATTTTGGTGTGTTGCCCTTTTGCTTTAATGACAGCAGCGCTTGAGCTGCATGAACTCTCCATAAGTTTGTTCAAAACCTGATGATCATGTTCTCCGGCATGATGCATGATTTGAGAATAATATAAAAAGGGCATCATGTCTGTTCAAAGAGTCACATGATCAATGTCATAAATTCATTTGGAAACTCTGGATTCTTCCAGTCTCATTAGTAATACCGAATGACTTCACTGTCGACTGTGATGTTCATGTAGAAAGCAGCACTCGCTGCTCATGGTGCAGAGATGTGCTGATGAAATGAGCATGTCTCATGCTCTGCAAGAATCTGCTTGCACAGTCAGCACTGTTCGTTCATTTATCACTGAAGGGCTGCATGCTTCTCTCTGTACTGAAAAGGCCACAATATTTTTTTGTGGTTTTGCCAAACAATATTGTTATAAAAACAATATTTTTAGGTTGGTTGCTGAGCCATAAAACTGAAAGTCACAAAGACTGATAACAGAGAGTACAACTGAGAGGAAGTAGCTAGCCTGTTGTTGTGAGCTCTTTTTGTGTACCAGCAGATGGCACTAGTCTCATTTACACTGTTCTGTTGTGTTTTTGTTCTTGAACAGGTGATGTCTCAATGGAGAGCTCATGTGTTCCACAGCAAGCAGCCAGTGAAGGTGGGAAACACTATATCAGAGCACATAGATCTCAGACCAGGGTCGTAGCAATCATTTTTAACTGGGGAGACGTTCTTTCCTCTACTTTTAGATATTTCTATGTTTCTACATACATGCACATGCACATAAGACTTATCAAATGGTTTCTACACCGCTGTCTTACACTTTAAAAAAAATAGTTTCAGATAACAGTGATCCCAAAAAGTATTTGTACACTCAAGTCACACTTAAAAATGTTTAAATGCCATTCCATTAGATAAAAAAAAATATAAAAAAATAAAGTAGCCTTCGATTTAAAGATAGCACAAGCACATCATTCAAGCAAAACATTTCAAAGTTAGTCAATATTTGGTTATATACAACATATATTGTTCAAAATTGTTATGACAAAATGTAGCCTGAAAACAGTAATACAAAGTTGTTAAAAAGTTAAGTATTTGCAAAAGGATTTACAATTCTATTTAATGTAAACCAACAGTCAAATAATAAATTAAATAAGCCAATAAAATGAATAAAATAAAATAAATGCATTTTAAATTAAATCAAATCATTTAAATGTAAATGACATTTTAAGTTTTGAGATAATAGTAAATAAAAATTGATGACAGAAAGTCATACAGGTTTGGAAACACTTTTTGGCTGAACTATCCCTTTAAGTGTCCATCTATATTTTGAGCCCAATGTGTATCAGAACGGGCTAATTTTATGGGGTATCTTAAAACGAAATGCTTCAAATTCAAAGTAATGTAACTTTAATGTTACATGACCACATAGCTCTTGTTTCAGTACCAATATACCATTTAACATTCAGAAATCATAATGTTAAACTTCACATTCAGAACATCAGGTGTGTGAAATACATTCACTCTGATAGAATAAGGAAATGGTCAGAGAGCCAAAAAACAAATAAAAAACCCACAATAACCTTGAACAGTGAATTGACACTGTTCTAAAAATATGCAGCTGATAAAACAAGCAGTAGGTTAGAAACAGGAGGGCCAGTAGGTCACGTCCAGTATTAACTCAAAGAGCTGTAGGGGGGAATAATTATTTGTAGAGCTTTATATTTCCTCTGAGTACTATAGACTCTTCTGCTGTTAGCACAAACAGCTTGATGTGAGTTCATAGCTGAGGATTTTTGGAAAAGATGGAATGACGTACTCCTTTAAGAGTTGATTGTATATCTCTTCATTTGTGAAAGAAGAGCTATTAGCTCTTAATGGAGAGCAGTTAGATACTGAAAGTGCATGACTCAATACTAGTTCCCGTGGAAAGAAAGAAAAAAAATGCTCGTTCCAAAGCTCAACTTCTGTGTTTGAGTTTCAATAAATAACCCAGCCTCCCTGACCCCAAAATTCTCTTCTATATGCTAACTTGTGAGTCACTGTATTTCCAGTGTTATTTGCTGCAGAGTATGTGTGCTGTTTACAGCGGTCCTGTCTCTTGCTTCAGGTGGAGAGTTCCTTTAGTTATCTCGAGATCTATGCCATCATCATCGACAGCGTTGAGCAGGTAAGAGGTATTCCGTTAGGAATAATGAACATTTAAAGTTGCTTATTATACACTATTTGTATAAGTTTTATTTGTTGCTTTGGGTGGAAGCATCTGTGAATTTAAAATAAAATATGGGCAGCTGTGATATAATACAAATGTACCGATATATATTCCCCTTAATTGTCCAATTCATTAGTTAACTTAAGTTGAATCAAATTTTTATATAATTTTTTTATTAAAAATGATCATGCTCCAAGGAAATATTATTACAATTTAAAATAATTGGTTTCTGTTTTAATATATTTTAAATTTAATTTATTACTGTGATGGCAAAGCTAAATTTTCATGAATTGTCAATCACTCTAATATGCTGATTTGGTGCTCAAGAAAAATGTGTTATTATTTATTAATATGGAAAACAATTGTGCCTAGAGCTTGATGAATAGAAAGTTAATTATTTAAAATAGATCTATTTTGCAAGTAAAAGTTTTCACTCTAAATTTTGATCAATGTAATGTGTCCTAGTAGAATAAAAGTTTTCATTGAATAAATAATTTAATTTAAAAAATGACTGACCACATATTATTTAAACGGTAGTATAATATTGTCAAATATGACTTTTCTCTG